CGCTGTATCCAAAGTTATTTTTAAATCTTGTAAACTTTTTGATACTGCATTCATTCTTTGCAATATTGTGTTCCAAAATATTGTTTGTAGTGCAAATTTAAATTCCTCCATTTTAAAAAGAATATTTTGCGCTTGTACTTAAGCTGATGAATCAAAATTTTCATCTTCAGAAATCCAAGCCAAAGAATTAATTATGTTCTCATAATCATTAAAAATGACTTTTACTGAATCTGCACGAGCACTCCATCTTGTCTTCGAAAGATTTTTTACAGAATATTTTGAGTTTTTTTCAAGTACACTCCATCTTTTTGTTGATGCAGAAAAAAAATCGTAAATAAGCTCAACTATCCCGAAAAAATTTACAGAGTCAATACAAATTCCTGCACCAGAAGAACCAACCAAATTTAATGAGTGTCCAGCACATGGTAAAAATTTTGCTAGATTATTCTTTTCCAAAATTTTTGTTTGCATGCCTTTGTATTTTCCGGTCATATTATATGCATTATCGTATGCCTGAGATCTGCAGTCTGAGAAATTTAATCCTGCATCGACGGTCAAAAAACCGATGGTGGTATCGGCAAGAGTTTCTCAGGTGTGATTTTCTGGTGTTACAAATTGAAGAAATCTACAATGGGTTCGAAGGAAATTTGCTCTATATATCTCACAACTACACAGAGTTGATCTTTATGAGATATATCTGGTGCGGAATCTACTGAAATTCCATAATACTTTGACTTTTTTACTTCGCCAACTATAGTCTCAAGTACTTTTTTCGCCATTAATGAAACGAGTTCATCATACACAGTTTTGGAGAGATACGATGTGTGTCCTGAACCAGCGTGACCATAATTTTTAATATGTTCAGCTAGAAAAGGGTCAAATTTTGCAACTAATTCCAATAGCCCTATGAAATTTCCACTCCCTTCAATGCCAAATCTTTCATTTGAACCTCTAAAGGCTAGATTTCCTTCAATCAATGTACTAATCACAGCTACAACACGCTCTAGAATCTTTCGCCAATATTTCTGTTCTTTTCTTGTTTCATCTTCTAAATGACCATCCAATGTTTTATCACTTCTACGAACCAAATAACTCTAAAGCTTCTCTGTGTTCAGTAGAGTTTTCATGGCTTTTCAATAAAGAACTTGCGTTTTTCCAATTTTTTAATCCTTTTGTTGCAAGACAGAATTTGGAAATTTTAAAAATAGTACATACAAAGCATAAAACAGTACCTTTTAAAGGAGAATACACTAACCATTCACGAATATATTCTTCTCCGTTTGTTCTTTTTCCATAAAAAAACTGTTTCGAACAATAACGGTCATGATCATTGTAATTTTCTTTTGATGTTCAAAAATTATTGCTCAAGTTCTGCAAATTTTTTGGACCTTGTGTGACCCAGAATGAAACATCATTATTAGACAGTTCTCCCCATTGTCCAATATCATCACTTCTGTTTAATTTTAATTCAATGTCGATTTCTAAAGGATCAGCTACATTATCAAATGAAGTTGGGGTTCTTGACGATAAAGCTATTTCATCTAGGAGTTCTGGAGTATTTTTCTCTTCTTTTGAAACTGTACTACTTTCCTCATTTTCATTTACCTTTCTGACAAAAAAGTTTTTTCTTTTTTGGGCTCCAGTTGCATAACTCCTTTTCATTATGCTAATAAAAATAAGTCCATATTAAATTAACAAATTTTAAAAGTCTACTCACAAACCTTAATTGATGAAAAAATCTAAGAATTTTTTAATATTTTTACAAATTTTTATTTGCTTTGCACTGATACAAAATTTAATCAAAACGGAGTTGACAGTTGACAGAATTTCGTTGTATATTCAAAATTCTTTCAGTAGATGTCACTAGGTATAAGAAAAAAATATAAACCGGTGTTTTTGATTTTTCTACACATTATTTTTAGTTTTCAACTTTTTATATTTATTAAATTTTGGGGCCCCCAAATGTTGGGGGCCCTAGGCCGAGGCCTAGTCGGCCTATAGGTAAATCCGGCCCTGCTACCTTGCAAGGTAGGTACATATGTATTTCAAGCTTAAAACTCATCTATTTTTAAATGCAGAAAGAGTACATGTTTTGTAGGTAGTAACCCCTAACTTTGACCTACCTTGGTACACAGCTATTTAAATGCAAAAAGAGTGCATCTTTTGTAGTTGGTAACCCGTCTCGTGACTTTTTCGTAAACATTCTTTTGCATATGGTGAAGTCAGAAAAGGAACTTGTCTTATCACAAAGTAGTATAACGTAGCGCTCAGACAGCAGCATTGCATTAGGTAAAATAAATCTAGTATAGGAGAGTTAAATAATAAAATAAAACAACAACTTTGTCTAAATTTGCACGAGAAAGCAGTCTATACGAAAATAATTTAGAAGTTAGCAACTAACAAATCTAAAATTATTGCATTTTAATACTATATAAACATAAGCTAACTGCAATATGCTTTAAAATTTCCTTATCTCCATTGTTTTAGAGATTACATATACTTTTTTTCAACTGGAATTGAACTACTCTCACGCCGTTTCTACGACTCTCCCTGGTCTGGGTTTTTAAATAACAATAAAAGTAACAGTCAAACACAATATCAATCGTTTTTATGTCTTTATGTTTTATTCATGTGATACTAATTATTTTTTCTGAAAACTCAACTCTAGAATACTCCTTGAATGTCTTTAAATTTATTGGATGGCATATAAGAACCTCTTTGTAGTAATACCTTCAAGAGAAGTCAAAGTAGGTGCCAAAATCTCTTCAAGGCATTTATGGTACTCCGATATATTAGTTTTTTTGGTGGTTACCGTATTCATATATCGCTGGTTAATAAGCATGACTTTTATGTTGGAAAAAAACATCTAAACCTCTATCTCGATGTTGAGATGCAACAGTCTCTATCTGATAAATTCAACTCACTTAACCTCCGCCAAAAACAAATGAAAAAAAAAATAAAGGTAAATAAAGACTTAAAAAATTATCAAAGAAATAGGTTTAATTTTATAACAATATATTTATTGCTATATATATTTATATGTGTTAAACCTATTTCTTTGAACTTCACTTTGTTATTAAGTAATGTATTTTATCTAGTTTCGTTTTGCTATTTTTTTTTTATTTAGAAGGATAATTAATGTCGCTATTAGTTAATAATCTCTTTTGACATACAAAACATTTATACCAATCTGTCGCATTATTTGTTGTTGTTGGCAATTTATAATATTCATAGAATATTATAAAGTTGCAGCATTTATTAGAATAAAACTCTTGTGTGACATAACAGTTTATTTTTAACTTCTATAGATTGTTTTTATTATTCGATTTTATAAGGTTTTATAGGTTTCACTTATTTTGTATAAATATAATAAAATAACAATCAATCAATATACTTCTGAAATAATTGGTGGTTACATAGCAAGGTTACTTACAAATAATAATATTACTAACATTAAGAAAACACCTACTGAAAATGAATAAAATAATAATGGTTATAATAACAATAGCAATAATAATGACAATAATAATAACAAGATAGTAGTTTTCTTAAACACAATAGCTATACGTAAAAAGTTAGCCAGTTATAAATAGTTACAAAACTGATAAAACGTAACAACTAACAATGACGTAAAACGTTATTGTTAGTTGTTACGTTTTTTTTCAAGTAGTTTTTTTTTTCCTTTTATTTTTTCTCTACAGTTATTTTATTCATTTTATTCAGTTATTTGATTTATTTAAATTGTTTTTACTTTGTTTATTTATGGTGTTTGATTTTTTTTTTTTTAAATAATTTTTTGGTTTTCATTTACTTTATTTATCTTTTTTTTTCTTTCTTTGGGATCATCCATAAAGTACGCACGCTTTTATTTTAATTCTTTCTCCCTCCCCCGCATTTTGCGTTTCGCTTTTTTGAGTACCCTCCACCTACCCAAAAGTATCTACTTTTTTAACCTACCTACCCAAAATTTTGTGATATTGTTGCACAGAAAAAACATTAGCTTTTTTTTTTAAAAATGCGAGTTATCTTTAGAATAAATGGGCTAAAATGTTGTTTAGTGTTGTAAACCTTTGCTTTCATTTACAATAAAAGTTAGTTTTTAAATATAAATGTATAGCAGAGTTTTGTAAGTATTTCTTAGGTATCTTATCATTATGTCGCGCAGTATATATCAGACCGAGAAGTTGTTACTAGCGGAGTACCCTAGAGTTATTTCTTGGCCCGCAACTTTTCGTATTGTATATAAAAGATCTACCGGACATAATATCAAAGCATTTCAGACTATACGCGGATGAAATGAAAATAGTTGGAACTATTAAGGCTTCGAAAGGAGTCTCTACAAGAGAATTTAGATGATGTTGTCTCAAAATAGTCTCAAAACTAATAAATGCAAATGTAAAGTAGGGAGGTAGTTTCTATTTTTTAATTCATCTATGGTCAGTAAAATTTGTAATCAAGTTAGAAAGTATTTTTGTATTTGTATTGAAAATTTTATTCAAAAAATTTTATTTATTTCTTGTTATTTAAACTTAGTATTAAACTTATATGTAAAAAATAAGAAGCGGAAAATTTTTTGTAATTTTTTGTATTAGATTAACAATTTCAACTAAAGAAAATTTTTAATGGTTTTTAAATCTTTGCTTTTTAAATATTTACTAATCTTCTATGAGTACAAAAATATTTCAGCAAAAAATACGCAAAAAAACTTCATTAAATAATTTAAAATTTAGTTTCAGTTTTCAGTATGGTTACATTTATTTTTTATTAGATGGTGAGTTTAAGTTACAAATCCGTTCGAAACCTATCCTTTTTTTTCTTTTTTTTAAAAATAAACCATACTGATGATAAATATTTAAGATGAAATAAATTTTCAATAAATACTTATTCATTATATTAATAAGTAAATTATCAATCGTTTGACGCAATTTTTAGACCGATTGTCAGCTGATACAGCAACCAAAGTGTTTTTGGAAACTCTAATGGTAACAAAAAAGTATAAAGCATGAATAATCAATTTGCATTGTTATTTCAAGTAGTATTTGACAAGCACAACGTTCAGAGTTTGTCGCTTAGTATTTGTATTATTAACAAGAAGACAAATCCAAGAAAATGAGGTAAAATAAAACATTATTTTTCGTGATAGTATTGTAATGTAATAATATATAATAATAATGTAATGAAATAATCTTCTAAAGTAACTCGAAACTTATTCACTTATTAATTTTTTTTACAACTATTAAAACTCTTAATTTGTATTATACAGTAAATTCCCATAAACCTCTAAGTGACCAAGGAAAACGGTGCCCGGCATTTACTATATATTGCATATATATATATATATATTATATATATATATATATATATATATATATATATATATATATATTATATATATATATATATATATATATATTAATGCGGAACTACATTAAGTTTTATTGCTTTTTAAAAAAACCGCAATAATAATGACATGAAAGTTTTTTTTAATTAGTGGTGTTTTTGTTTTTATTTTATTAAAAAACATTTATAAAACATGCGTAAGTGTTGCTACATCGACTATCTTATAGCCTGTTGCTACAAGGGAGTGTTGCTACATCGACTATCTTATAGCCTGACTCGCAACGGAGTGCTGCTACATCGACTGACAAATTGCCTGAATCGCAAGGGAGTGCTGCTACATCAACTGACAAATAGCCTTAGTCGCTAGGGAGTGCTGCTACATCGACTGAGGGTTTGGTTTAAGCAGGCAGTCTATCATTTTAAAAGAAAAAATTTTTTTCGAAGTTTTTTAACATTTTATGGTCAGGCTTATTAACGCGCTCTTTAAAACAACAGTTTATGGGGAAACTTTTTGACTACTATGCAAGATTATATATATATATATACATATATATATATATATATATATATATATATATATATATATATATATATATATATATATATATATATATATATATATATATATATATACATATATACATATATATATATATATATATATATATATATATATATATATATATATATATATATATATATATATATATATATATATATATATATATATATATATATATATATATATATAAATATATATATATATATATATGTATCTGTCTGTATAAATATAGTTATACAAACAGTTTGTTTATATTTTAATTTTTATATATAATACATATTACTTGTTTATTTTTTTTTAGATTAATTTTCTTAACGTTGTTTGTATGGACCATAATTTTTGAAGCAAATAAAAATTTTGTTTCAGGTAAAAAAAAATTTTTTTTTTTTAAATTTATACTTATATTATCAAAATTTAATGAGAGAACATGAGTAATATAGTATGAGTATATAGTAATGATTAATTAGTAGACAGATTATATATTATATATTTTAAGAATTGGGAAAAAAAGCAAACAAAAATTATTCGAAAAACAACAAAAAATTATGTTTCAATTGATTTATTTACCATTCAGTCAATCTGATTTTTTTGTCTTATTTCTTTTTTGATGGCATGAAAAAGTATATATATATATATATATATATATATATATTATATATATATATATATATATATATATTATATATATATATATATATATATATATATATATATATATATATATATATATATATATATATATATATATATATATATATATATATATATATATATATATATATATATATATATATATATATATATATATATATATATATATATATATATATATATATATATATATATATATATATATATATATACATATATATATATATATATATATATATAAATATATATATATATATATATATATATAAATATATATATATATATATATATATATATATATATATATATATATATATATATATATATATATATATATATATATATGTGTATATATATATATATATATATATATATATTATTTAATAAAACAAAAACTTTTGTTTAGTGTAAAGTTTTGTTGTTCTAAAAATTTACACTAAGCAAAAGCGTGCTTGAAGGATAGTATTTCGCACAAATAGAACTGTGCGATGCGAACTACTATTAAATCGTCTGAACAGGGCCGTTCCGAAGAGGTGGGGGGTCGTAGGGATCTCTCCCCCCCCCCAAAGTTGTCCTGTATGCATTTGAGTTGGCGCATACAGCAAATTTTGAACTATAGTTGGCAATTTGCAAGTATTGTGGTATACCTAAATATTTGCAAATTGCCAGATATTGAGAATACACCTTTTTTTTTTTTTTGGTGTTTATATTTGGCAAAAAAGTATATAAGCCCCCATGAAAGACCTCTTCGGGACGGCCCTGCGTCTAAAGGCCTTAAATATTTATGTACATATCACTAATAGTTATTTATAAAATAACTATAATGGATATATGCATATAAAATGGCTCATGGTATATCTCCCTTATCTTTCACTTTTTCTTTTGTGAATTATCTCATACTTACCCATAAATGTTTTCACGGAATAACTTTATTGTTGCTGAGAATTAATTTTAAAATAAGTTATTATCAAAAGAAATGTTGAGAGCATATTTATGCAAAATGCAAAATGTTGAGAGCATGTTTTCGACATTTTTTTTGTAAAAATCTCGACATTTCATATGTAAAAATTTTATTATCAAGTTCAATAAAGAGCACTACTCATCGAGAGAAATTTAAAACAAAATTTTACTTCAATTAGATCTTATTGCAATTGACTTTTAGTTACCGAATCAACATTGAAGTCTTATTTCTAAAGATAAACTTTATGATATTTCATTTGAATTTTGTTTCAATCTGTTCTTTGTGTTTATTGTTTAGCAACCGAATTTTAGTGGGTGAATTTATTTGAACAAACTGCTTTTTTGTGTGGCAAAATTTCTGCTAAGTGTTGTCATTAATAATTAATTTCTTTAATTTAATTTTTTCCTCATTTAATAAATTTCAGAAAACATTATAAAAACTGATTACTCATTAATAAAAGTAAATAAAATGCAGGTTTGCTCAAAATTATTTTGCTCCAAAAATATGCTCAAATTTATTTTGCTCCGTGTTTAATAAATTTCAGAAGCATTTTATCATATGGAGCAAAATAATTTTGATCAAATGAGCAAATTGATAAAATGCAGGTTTGCTCCATTTGATAAAATGCAAAGCATGGAGTCAAACACATACAATGAAAACAACTCATTAAAAAAAGTTGGATTTTTTAAATTTTGTCATGACCGAAATTGTTAGCGTTGGTATCGGAAAATCAGGTTATCAGGTAACTAGGTAACAGGCAACATGTGGTATGTGTTTACAAAGTTAAAAAACCTATTTGTCTATATTGTAACTATTAAAAAAACTTGTAACGATTTTGAAAAATATTTATTTTTTTAGGGTGCCTTTAGTGTTCGATCTTATCACCATTACATTTTGGTTTTATTACCGTTACATTTTGATTTTTAACCATTACACATTGAATTTTGTTATAAGTCCACATCCAACTAAAATAATAATCGGTCACATAAACTTTAATTCAATCAGAATTAAATTTGAACCTTTAAAGGAAATACCTCAAGGCAAAATTGATATACTAATGATATCTGAATCTAAAATTAACCACTCCTTCCCCTCAACACAATTCCTTATTATAGGCTTATCCAAACCATATAAATTAGGTTGATTAAAACTCGGAGTGGAATAATGATGTATGTTAGAGAAGATATACCCATTAAGATACTAACAAAAACTAATGATGATGGTTATTATGAATGCTTCTTGTAGAAATAAAGTTAAGAAACAGAAAATGGTTTATTGCCTGCTGCTATAATCCTTAAACCTTGTCAATCAGTCAGTTTCTTATAAATTTCGGAAAAAATTGCGATTACTTTTCAGGAAAATATGAATATTTAATAGTCATTGGCGATTTTAAGCCTGAGATGAAAAGTGAGTTTATGGAAGAATTTTGCATCATGTATAAATTAAAATCTTTTATAAAAGTATCAATCTGTTTTAAAAATATACATAAACCAATAGTAATTGACCTCATCTTAACAAATGCTCCGAAATGTTTCTGCCAATCAAATGCAATTAAAATATGTTTATCCAACTTTTATAAACTGGTAATCTCGGTCTTGAGATGTAATTTTTCTAAGCAAAAACGAAGAATAATTACATACAGATGCTTCAAAAACTTTGACAACAAAAACTTTCAAAATGAACTAATATAGGAAATATATTAAAAAAAAACGTACTAGACATGGATATTTTTGGATTTAAAGATACCGTAATAGTCACTTGAAATAAGCATGCATCACAAAAAACCGTGCAGTATTTATGACCAAATATTAAACAAAGCTGTACGAATCGCTCTAGACTACTAAACCATTATCGTTTGAATAAAACGCAGTCTAGTAAAAAAGCATACAACTGCCAAAGAAATTATTGTGTTGGACTCCTAAAAAATACTAAAAAGTTATTTTTTATAAATGTTACCGACAATAAAACCTTTTGGAAAACAGTGAAGTCATGAGCTCGCACCTTAATGAAAAAATTGCTTTATTGGAAAATGATTTTATAATATTAGATGATAAACTTGTGGCCGATTTTTTTAACGCATATTATAAAGACACTATATTGCAGTTGTTCATCAAACCGATCCCTGAAGCTTATCCATGATCACATAGAAAATTAAATATTTAAATACAAATTACATCTAAGTATTACTGCGATAAGGATTTTAATAAGAAATTTTATACCTTTTTTTTTCCAACATACAACTATGAAAAAGGTATCTAATTATATTTCTCAACTAAATAAATTTAAAGCACAAAAAAAGGACGGTATACCAACTAGAATAATCAAAGATAACATTATTATTTTTTCTGATTTTATATGCAAAGATTATAACTACACTATTTCAAACATTATCTTTCCAGGCCTATCAAAAAACGCTGATATTACTCCAATACAAACAAAAAGGCCTCAAAGTAGATAAAAGAAACTACATACCAATCAGTATTCTATCGAACCTATCTAGGGTATACGAACAATGTATGTTTGAAGATTTAGCTAGCTTCTTTAAAATAATTTTATCTAGACATCAATACGGTTTTCGTAAAAGTTGTAGTGCTTAAAATTGTTTGATTGTAATGACTGAAAAACGAAGAATAGCCTTTGATCACAAAAGATCTAAGGCTTTGGCGCTTTTCTAAAGCCTTTGATTGGATATCCCAGGAGTTACTTATAGCCAAACTAGATGCCTATGGTTTTAGTTTAAACAGTTTAATGTTTATGTCAAAAAACTTTCCTTCGAAGAGCATGCAAACACTTTATGCAAATATGCCAGCAGAAAAGTAAACGCACTTTCAAGAATCACATCATATGTCTTTTAAACAACGTAAACTTATACTTTCTGCATTTATAAGTTCAAACTTCTCATTCTGCCTACTTATACGGATATTTCACAGTTAGAAACTAAATAATTGCATAATTCAAATCCATGAGAGAGCTTTAAGAATTATCTACGGGGTGACCACGCAACTGCGTTACGCTTAAATTTAAGGCTCTACCCATGCTTGTAGATATGCGTAGATCTATTTGTTTACAAATTACGCAATGATATCAACACATAAATAAAAAAAAAGTAAAAATTGAAAAATTTTATTAAAATGGATCTGCAAGAATCAAAAAGACGAAGCATTCTGCAAATGTTGCAATCGGATAAGACTACATCAGATATCAGAAAGGCTTTAAACTGCTTCAGAACAACAAGTTTTCGAGTAAGAAATTTTTTTCATGAAACAGGAGATATCAAACGACGTTTTAATAAGCCAAAACCTGTGAAACGATCCCCTCAGCTTTTAAGGTTTGTCAAAAGAAAAGTCAAGCGAAACCCATTGCGCTCCATCCGCCAGTTGGCAAGGGAGGCCAATGTTGCCAACTCCACAATGCAAAAAGTTATGAAAGATTTGAACCTTAAATCCAGAGCTGTTGTGACTAAGCATCTTATCACTAATAAACAGGAAGAAAGTAGGAAAGAGCAATCCAAAAAATTGTTAAACTGGCAAAAATCTTACCCTGGGCGTGTGACAATCTTCTCTGATGAAAAACTTTTCACTGTCGATAAAGTTACTAATCGTTGTAACACAATGTACCTTAGTACTGCCAAAACAGTAAATCAAAAACAGTAAAAACAGTAGTCCCAGAGAATATCAGGTATTCATTTTCATCAAAAAAAACCAGCTTCTGTGATGGTACTTAACGTGATAGCAAGTGATGGAAAAAAGTGTCC